TTCTCTTTCCTTTAAGGCTGCTCAGCAGGCTACAGCAGTTAACCATGCACCTTTAAGGCTGCTCAGCAGGCTACAGCAGTTAACCATGCACCTAATGAGGTGTTCAAACCTCCTCAAGAACGAGATGATTTTCAAATACAATCTCAAAAGACTTCCCAGCCTCTGCTTCTAGGTGGAAAAGTATGTTGAATTCCTGATATATCCTAAATGTAGTTTTGTTGAAAGTCCAGATACCTATGTATTACAGCTTCATAAATAATCGGTAAAATTGTGGTACTGCAATCAGTGACAGTAAGTTACCTTAACCTCTTCATTTAGATTTTTCAATAAGCAAAATTTCAAAGATACTTCCCAGCTTTTTGTCCTACTAGTTAAATTTGAACGAGTTGATTCAAAGCAAACATTTATGTCTATATGTTCTCATATGCTGTTCTCTGAATTTTTAAACGAATCACTGCTCGTAACAACAGCAGCATAAAAAAAAATATTTTAAGGAATGGGCGTGTCAGAAACTTTCTGCTGTAGTGCTGTATGACAAATCTGCCTTTAGAATTTCTCATGGTGAATAGGAATATAGATTATTCGCAGCTAACTCATGTGTGCCAACCACCTTGCTGTAACTAGGCATCTTAAAACTCTTTTGTTCAAGTAGACATTATCATTTACATTACATCCTTCTTAAATAATCTAAGTAAGGCATACCTAAAATGTTAATGAAATGACAGCCTTTTCACTATCCATTAAATGGAAGTTATCTAAACTAGAATTTTCATTTTCTAATTAGAGTTGTGATAAAGTCAGACCAATAACCCTAGAACTATTATTCAGTAAGTGTGTACCCAGTACCCAGTTAATTTACTTCCCTCTTACAGTAATAATGCATTATTCCAAAATATAAATTTTGAGATGTTGAACGTCTATTATTGGTCAGTCTCAAGTTTAACCTAATGTTATATGGTTAACATTCTTGTTCATGTTATACTCATGGTGTGATCTTATTGCTGTCTGCTTCCGTGACGTGCATAAATTTTGGCTTTCTGAAAAATAATTTATTGGCAGATTTCTAAAAGACATATAACTGAAAGATATTATGATCTTAAATTCAAACTTCTTTCTGTCATTTTTTTAATGTTTGGTTGAGGTTTTTTATTAGACATTTTCTGACGCTAAGTGTGAAACCACTGAAACTCAAGTGCTGCAAGTTTCTGTAGGAATTTTATCATGAACTACATAGCTGATCAATTATCTTGAGTTTATCTGTGATTGTCATTTGCCGTATTTAAATTTCCCTTGGTAATATGCCACTTAAATCTTCAATCACCGATTTTGAGTGAGGGGTTATATCTTGATTTTCTGTTGTTGATTTTATAATTTTCTTTCAGCCACAAACTTTGCAGCAGGGTGGAGTAAGTTCGAATGACAACCCTCAGCCCAGCACATCTAGTGGCATTAAAATCCCTAGAGTGGTATGTGTCCTGTCACTGTGATTTTGGTTGCTGTGAATTTAGATTTCTTGGGTTTACCAAAACATCACTAACTCAGATGTTTGTTACCAGATTCCTTATGCGCTGAGATCAAAGCAGGCATTGGTGGTCAGGGAAAACGAGTCCAACTCTGATTCTGACAGCAGTGCCTTTGAGGTAAAGTAATACATGTGTATACTCAGAGACTTTTTATTGCGAAAATTAAAAATAGTAGGCTTAAATATTGCTGTCCCAAGTATCCTGAATATTGACTTTTGTTAGTCACTTTTCTCCATAATAAACTTACATCAAGACACTACCATTAAAAGTAGGAATGAACTTGATGTGATATGTTACCAAAAGTTCTCAGTTGGTTTACTTCTCTGCCTTACAGCCACCTGCAAAACACATGAAACCGTATAGCAGGGTTAACAAGGTAATATGCAGCATACGATACTGATACTATTTGCCTGTGTTCATCTCTCTAATCTTATGCTTCTTTCCTCTCTCTCTCTCTCTCCGTCATAGCTGAGTCTTAAGAGTAGTAAGACTGTGCAGGCAGTTAATCAACTTGTGAGTTTTACTATATTATTGCCCTGAATACATATTTATAAAATATCTATATTTTTTTGGATTTTTTAATATTTTCATTTTATTTTTCTTTCACTTGTACAGGAGGAAGAACAAAGTAAGTCCGAAGTTATAGTAATTGAATCAAGTGATGACTCAAGTGACGAGGAGAGTGAGCAAGAGTCGATGGTATGCCCTCAAAGTCCTTGTTTTAGTGTTCAGCTGAGTTACTAAGAACATTTGTTGTAAGTTACCACAGGCGGTGGCTGATTTTTATTTT